CTTTTCTTTGGAACTTTCCCCTTCCCTATCCCATTTCCTTACACCAGCAGCTACATAAAAGGTTATGTGGGAGGTAAAGGCAGAGGAGCTTGGTTAGCACAGAGACTTATTAGACACTCCCAGGAGAGGGGGGGGGGCTAATACGTTCAAGGAGGGAGGGGGCTGTGCTAGGGAATTAATTAGTCAAAATTTCTAGCAAGTTCAAAAGGCAGATTGCGAGTGAATAAACCATTTATTTATTCAATGGCAAAACACTGCAAGTAATTAAAATACTTGATCGGTCTGTGTTTTTACCTGCAATATTTTACACGGTCTCTTTAAAGCTTTGTGAATTGAGCCTAATGTCATATTCAGTAAGATATGTGCTTTTCTGCTACCGAGCAGAAAAACATTCACCAATCGTAGGGTCCATTTACACCAAAATCAGAAGGAAATCTCAAGTCAACGGAGGGTCCATTGACTTGCAATTGTAACTTCTGATTTCCTTCCAATACGTTTTGTAATGGATGCTAATGGAAGGGTACGGAAAAATGAATGGGTTTTGAATGGGGCTAGTTCAAACTGGATCCATTGTGTTAAGTTGCACTGACAAAAGTAGTGCCTATTCCACATTTTTTCAGCTCAACCCAACGTAACACAATGTAATGCAGCGCAACGGAGTGGTGTGAACTAGCCCCATTCATTTTTTGGTGCCCTTCCGTTGGAAAACATATTGCTACTGATCGCAGCGCAAAGGATCTGGTATGAATGGGCTCTTGCTGTTCTAACCTTGAAGATTCCTGCCAGCTGGACAGAGTAATAAAACGGTATAGTTAAATAGGACCTAACACCATTCAACACCTGTTGGCTCCTTTGATATACTGACACTGGAGAGGTAGGAGAGGTCAGGTGGGCATTGTCAAAGGGTAAATTCAAGGCAAAGCCAGCCAATCACGGTCTGCCTGAGTTCTGATTCCAGCATAGGAGACAAAGAAAATGCTTCCTCCTGCCTGCAGCAGACTGGTAACATCATATCAGCCTAGGCACAGTCACTGGACTGAGAAAAGATACAGATTTTATGATATTGTACATTGTGATTAAGGATGATCGAACTGGCCTGGGTTCAGTTAGCTTGGTCATTCGCCAAACCAAGCCAAAAATTCAGATTTGCTGAAGGTCTAAGCAAACTGAATCCAGGGCCGTCTGTGTCCAAGCAACCAATGACACGGTGCAACCCACACAGTATCACTGGTTGCCATGACACTAGGGATTCAGTCATGCAGCGTCATTGGTTGCTACAATGTGGGTTGGTGCACCATAACAACCAATGATGCTTTGGTGACACCAGCCTCTCAGCAACCAATGACACTGGTTCCACCTAGCAGACAGTGACCCTCACAGCATCATCAGTTGACTGTAGTTGAGGCACACAGCATCTTTGATAGCTAAGATGCATGCAGATGCACCATAATAACCTATGACATTATGGGACCACCAGCCTCTTAACAACCGTTGACACTGTGTGACCTGCACATTGTCATTAGGTGCCAAGACGCTGGTGCTCCTATGGTGTCATAGGCTGTTATGGTGCACCCGGTTGCACCTTAGCGATCAAAGATGCTGCGTGGCGCAGCTACCTGTCAACCCATGATGTTGTTAGAGTCACTGTCTGGTAGGAAACAGACAGGGGTTCAGCAAGTGGGCAAACTGGCCAAGCTGTTTTTCCATTTGACAAATCGTGTACAGCTTGGGTTGAGGTTAAACTCAAGGTTGACCTGAACCCAAAGCTTATCCTTAGTTGCGACATGGCAGGCCTCATGTAGAATGGTAAAGGTCTACTTTGGCTTCTAAAACAGATACTGTGTAGTCAAGCTGCGCCTCACCAGATGCATTGAACCGCCACTTTCAACAAGCTCCATCTGGATCCAACAAATAACAGAGAAGTATCGGATGTCATCACCTGTTTAAAAGAACATTGTGTTTAGCTACAAATGGTATCTACTGTCTTTGTCTTACCTGAAACATAACACCATAGGATTTCCACTCATCCTCTGTGCACCGGCTGCCATTGTTTCCTCAAGGTTCTTGTTTTGTATACAGTATTTTATATAGTGTTTGAAGAAGCTACAAGCTGATCACATCCAGATTAACAGGATTAAGCATATTTATTTTGTAATGAAAATGAAAGAAAACAGAAACTTTAAAGATATCCTTACGTGACCTAAGTCAACCATGGGCCTCATCCAAGAATTATATATAGGGTGTGGAATACTCTGTCTACTTGTTAGCAATTTAAAATGTAATTGTAAAAAAACTCACCCATTAAGGTTTCACCAAGAACTGAAAATGGCAAATTTATGAAAAATATGTCTTACCAAAATACATGAGAGGTTCATGATGTATTAGAATTAGGGTTGCACAGATACCAAGTACTGTACTCGGTACAAGTACATGTACCGATACATTTTAGCTCCAAGACTAGACTAGAGAAAAATTCAAAAGTTAGGAGGCAGCTGTCATGTGTAAGGAGCACAGGGAGCTCCTGGGATTTGTGCATCTCTGTTTTAATGTACGATTTTGTTTTTATAAATCTAAATAAAGGGATGCACCGATACCAGTTTTGCGAGTACGAGTACTGGTACTTGCCGAGTACAGTACTTACAAGTACAAGTACTGATACATTTTTGTTTATTGTCATGTGACAGCTTTTCTAAAACAATACAGACTAATGATTTCAGGACAGTGGTGGAGCGCCAGAGCCAGGTCCCAGCTGCAAGCGCTGCAACCCTGGGAGTTCTCATGAAAATGCCAAGTATCTGCACTGGTACTCGAAAAGTATCTGTGCATCCCTATATACTTGAAGGCCAAAAGCAGCAAGTACATTCTATCCTGGTAATCAGCGGTTACTACAGGCCTCGTCCTCCTTCTTTGTCAAATCAGAAGACTAAGAATGAAATGATGAAATGGTGTGTGCATGGATAGAAAACTGGCTACAGGAATTAGAAACAAGTTTCGATAAGTGGTCTTTCGTTGGGTGTAGAGTGCCTCCTCTATAGTATGCTGTTCAATTTTGGTCACCAATCCACCGAAAGGATGTCTGTGAGCTGGAGCGAGTCCAGAGAAGGGCAACAAAACTAATAAAGGGGTTGGATGGCCAAAGCTACGAGGCAAAACTGCAAATATTCAACTTGTTCAGTCTGGAAAAGAGGTGATTAGGCGGGGACATGATAGCAACGTACAATTAGTTTAATGGTGACGGTAGAATCAGTCATAAACTGTTTACTGTTCATTCATTTAAGAAGACGAGAGGCCACCACCTAAAATTGGTCCCCAACCAAACCAAAAGGTTTGGATGTTAAACTGAGAAGGAGATTATTTAGTGTAAGAGATGTACATTTGTGAAAACTCCCTTCTCCAGGAAGTGATCTCAGCTAAGAGTACTGACTCATTCACGAACCTTATAGATGCTTTCGTCTGGCAGCACGATATACAGTGGTACAGGTACTCTTGGTACTCATAGTGACTCATACACAAACACACACACACACACACTCTATAGGTTGAACTCAATGGACCCCTGTCTTTTCTCAACCTCAACAACTTTGTAACTATGTAACAATGAATTCTTGACCAAAACTGTACTGATTAACTGAACTGGAGGTCAGGAACTTCGCTGACAGGGGCACATGAACTACAAGACTAATTGAACAGAATTACAAATCTTTACACGTGGTAAAGTTCATAGTTCACAGAAATGTGTATCAGCTGTTCCATTAGTTGTTTGGCTGATTGTATGACGGGTGAGCTTCTGAGAGGGGCAACATGCTGTTTTTCCTTCTGCTATTTTAATAAGGTAGCAGTGGTGTCCCTATAGCCTGTTTGCCACCTGTGTTGGGGAAAGGGGGTGGTGTGGGTGGTGTTGCATGCAATCAGAGCAACAGGAATTGGAGGAGGAGACAGAGCTGCCAGATATGAGGGTGACGCCACTCTCTGATGACGTTGAATCTTCCCCGGCTCTTAGCAACCTGGGACACTCTGGCCGGCGTCCTGTCCAGCTCCTGGCAACCAGTGACATCACGGGTTGCTATGAGCTGGGTGGGACACTGGCCAGAGTGTACCAGCTTGCTAAGAGCTTGACTGGGATATGTGTAAGGTCCATACACATTTCCCCATCAAGCAAGCTCCTAGCATCCTGGGATGCTATGGCCGGCTGCCCGCCCAGCTCCTGGCAACCAGTGACTTCACTTGAGCTGGGCATCACTCCGGCCACAGCTTCACAGGTTGCTAGGAGCTTGATGGGCAGATGTGAATGGACCTTACACATATCCCAGTCCAGCTCTTAGCAACCTGGGATGCTCTGACCAGCGCCCCGCCCAGCTCCTGGCAACCAATGACTTCACTGGAGCTGGGCAGGACTCCGGCCACAGCTTCACAGGTTGCTAACAGCTTGAAGGGGAGACATGTGTCGACACTTACAACCCCCCCCCCTTTCCCCCGCGCCTCTTAGCAACCTTGGACTCTCGGGCCGGAAACAGGATGGCATGCCGCTCTGCCTGCTGCCCCCTCACCATGCCTCAGGCTGCCTTATTAAAGAAACGGCCCTGCAAATGAGCATACTGTGTCAGCACATAGGTGACGGTGCCATGGCACACCACCCATCAACATAAAATGGTGCAAGGTCACCCCCATATTAAAAAAAGGTGGATACCAACTCTACCAAGGCTTGGTGGCTCCTTGCATAGGTGAGGCCAGAATTAGGATGGCGGCCTTGGAGCCTCTTCGGGCAACCTGTGGCAGCTTCACAAGCTCTTTCTTTCTTCATAAACTGCATCCAAGATGAAACAGGAAATGCAGATAAATAGTTTTTTCTAATGAGACACTTTTATTTGTGATTTTTATGTTTTGCCTGCATTTGTTCCATATCTGTATGAAGTCTACATTGCATCTGTCACGTCACGACATGAAATGAACCTTGTTGCTGATAAAGATGTGTGATGGATGCTGTTCTGTGTCCCCCGCAGGCTTCGCCCTGGAGTGCGAAAGGTGTTTAGCAATCAATACAAACACTTGTACTGGCCACTACGAGACCTGCAAGACCGCCCAGAGCCGCTGCATGGTGACTCTCACGGAGACGTCGATGACTGACGGTGAAAGTAATTCATTTCTTTGTTAATTGTGGATGGGATTGTCTAAATATAAAAACGGGGGGAGGGGAAAGTCATCACATGACCGATCTGTCCTTTAAATCTGAACTCTGGGCACAAAAATGTTAATTGCAAGGTATTTCACACTGGATGACTGCACAGGCCTGCAAAGCTCATCAAGATTCAAGGAAGAATACACATGGCTCTTGTATTTAGGATTTAAGTTTGCTTATTCGCGGAGTTCAGCTTTAAATTTTAAAGGACCAGTCCATCCAAATATGATATATTAGTAGTAGGCTGGGTCCGGTGGGCTGATTCAGCTCTGGTTCCTTATATTCAGCCAACAGAAGAAAGCTGTGGGGCGCCGGATCTATCTATTCAAGCAGTAGGGGTTCTTAATGAGAAAAAAAATGAGAAATTTGTCTCCTGGTGCAGACAAATTTATTAAGATCAGGATCAAAGGTAGATAAAAAACATACTCACAAAATTCAGCATAATAATGATATAAAAAGTAAGTCCATGGACCCAACAGAAAGTCTATGGAAGCTGCACAATCGTGTCTATGTGTCAGCAGAGGAGACTGTGTGATGTGTGATCACATCATCACACATCACACAGTCTCCTCTGCTGACACATAGACACGATTGTGCAGCTTCCATAGACTTTCTAGACCCAGGCGGCCCGCACGGCATCAGGGGGGTGTCCTGGCCGGGCTCCCCTGTGACTGGGCCCCTTAGCGGCCACCTGGGTCGCTGTGGCTATTGTTACGCCACTGTCCTCAAGAGATAACAAAAACTGTCAGATCTATCAACAAAATATCAGTTTTGGGTGGACTGACCCTTTACCATTGCTAAACACAAGATGAGGCATGAGGCAGAATGCAACAGTATGTTGACACCCCAAATTATTAATTGCTGCTACCACAATCAGCTTTTCATTTTTATGTTTCAAAAAAAAAAAACCTATTGCTGTAACTTGTTATCTGGAGTTGAACTTGAATTTGTTTAGCCATTTAAAAAAAAAAATCTTTATCTAAGAGAGCAGGGTGACAACGCTTCTGTGTTATTTCACCAACAAATAAGCTGTGTTGTCACTCTTTTAAAAGAATACGAAAAATAACTGATCCGCTGGCTATACTACATGACTGGGGTGACTGAGATAAACCCCCTGTATCAATGCTCTGTGACAGACTCCTCCTATATGTCATTTTTGATTTTGCCCATAGTTCCATTTTAATAGTTTATGGTTTTTTTGCAGACACTTACAGCAGCGTCGAGCTGGTGAAGTCTTGTGCCAGTGCCTACAACTGCACACACCCAGCCACCCTGAGTTCTAAAGACTACAAAGTGAGAGTGACAAGAAAGTGCTGCGACCGGGACTTCTGCAACAACAACAACATCACTTGTAAGTCTTCCCTAGATAGATTTAGTTATATCTACTATATTGTATATACACACTATATTGCCAAAAGTATTGGGACACGCCTCCAAATCATTTTATTCAGATGTTCCGTGACATTTCCTGGCTACTAAATACTCCGCGGTCACCTGTTACAGGTATTATAACAAAGTGGAAGCAACTGGGAAAATCCCTCACGCGAGAGAGAAAAATTTTCTCCCGGAAAGGTTTACTCTCCTCGATCTATCAGAGTAAACCTTTCCCTCTCTGTGTTTTGTTTTGCTGAAAACGGGGCCGCCGTCCGTCACAAAAAAAAAAAACAGCATAGGAATGAATAGCTGGGCTGCTATTGGCTATTTCAATTTGCAGTAGCCAATAGAAAAGTAGCTATTGCATCCTCCCACTGCTGCTGTCAATCAGCAGAGGTGGACCTGAAGTTCTCCATTAGGTCTTCTTCTGCTGACTGACAGCAGCAGAGGGCGGGTGCAATAGCTGGCTTGCTATTGGCTATTGCAAATTAAAATAGCCAATAGCAGCCCAGCTATTCATTCCTATGCTTTTTTTTGTTGCTTTTTTTAATATCTGACTTCTTGCAACCACTGTACAGCAGAGCATAAACTGTAGGAGGGCAAAGCAGCACAAGGAGCAAGTCAGGAGTGTTACATTGCAAAGGACATGCTGAAAGGAAGAGAGAGAGCACAGAAAGAGGTGCTTACTAGTGTGCTCCTCCTTTCACTGTCCAGTTGGTGGGCAACGTGGTGCGCAGGGGAGACCTGTAAGTGTAAGTGAAACTGCAGCAGAGTGATCAGGTCCCCTCCTCTGCCAGGCCGGACTGTTCTCATGCTTCTCAATGTCCCAGGCAACAACTAGCCTTC